TTTCAGGGTCGCCCCCCACCTGGTCTCAATAATAAGGGACTACTTCCGGGATAGAAGACTGGTGTTCCGCAATAAATCGGAACTCCAGTGCGAAAGGGCAATGTATCGCGGTGTTCCGCAGGGGTCCGTGCTAGGACCCCTACTGTGGAACATTGCATACGATCAAGTCCTCCGTCTTGCCCTCCCCCCCGGCTGCACCGTCGTCTGCTACGCTGACGACACGATGGTGTTAGTCGGGGGCAGGGGCTGGCGGGACGCACTTGAGATGGGACGTCTGGCGGTGGACCAGGTGGTAAGCTCCCTAAGCAGGATGGGCCTGAAGGTGGCTCCCCTTAAATCGGAGGTCATGTTCATGTATGACGGCTCCAGGTCCACCAAAGGCCCGAATCCGGATTGACGGTGTCTCCGTGAGGGCGGGTCCCACGATTAAATACCTGGGACTCGTCCTGGATGGCACATGGGGGTTCCAGAAGCACTTCGAGCTTCTGGCCCCCAAATTGGGCAGGGTGGCCGATATGTTGGGTGGCCTCCTGCCCAATCTCGCCGGCCCAAAAAGGAAGGCGCGGCGGCTATATGCTGGCGTCGTCCACTCTGTGGCCCTTTACGGGGCCCCGGTCTGGGCGAGCGCGATGGCGACGGACCAGCGCACTACAGCGCTGGCCCACCGAGCTCAACGGTGGGTCGCCACTCGCCTCGCCCGGGCCTACAGGACGACGTCACAAATGGCCGCCACGGCCCTGGCCGGTCTCCCCCCGCTGGAGCTCCTTGCGAAAATGCACGCCGAAAACTATCGGCGTGTTAAGGAGCTCCGTGCCGGGGGAGATCAACAACACCTGGCCAGGGCCATAGGATTGGCGAAGGACCAGGCCCGTCAGCGACTCCTCCTCAGGTGGACTCTCCACCTAGAGGGGGCGACGGGCCGGTCGGGAACGAGGGTCGCCGAGGCCATCCGGCCCTGTCTACAACAATGGGTTGACAGGGTCCGCGGAGAGCTGTCATTCCGGACGACGCAGGTACTCACCGGACACGGATGCTTCGGTGAGTACCTGCACAGGATAGGAAGGGAGCTTAACTCCCGCTGCCACCACTGTGGAGCTGAGGTGGACTCGGCGCAGCACACCCTCGAAGAATGTCCCTCGTGGGTGGGCGAGCGCCGAGTCCTAGTTGATGTGGTGGTGGCGGATCTCTCTCCCCCGGCCCTTATCAGGGCCATGCTTGGGGGAGACGAGGGCTGGTCCGCCGTCACCTCCTTCTGCGACACAGTCATGTCGCAGAAGGAGGCGGACGAGAGAGTCCGCAGGGGTGAAACTGCCCCTGGAGACGGAGCGAGGCGCCGACGACGAAGGAGGGCGGCGCCTCGCATACCCGCGCACCAGCGCGGCATGGAAGGACGGCGCACTCGCGGGCGGGGTGGGGATGTGACAACCGGCATTCCCTCCCCTGGGGTACCCGCGGCTGCGCCGCCCCCCCCCCCCCAATACCGCCGGGTCCTCCTGATCAACGGAGGGCCCGGCCGGGGGGAGATAGGGGGCGCCTGGATAGGCGGGAGAGGCGCGCAGCAAGGCGCGACTCTCCCCCTGTGACACGCAGTCACACCAGGCTCCTCCGGGAGGGGGACAGGGCGACCAGTCTGCAAGGGCGGGCTTTTAGGCCGCTCATCCCCCTCCCCGAGAACGGCGACTCCTGACCGAGTGGGGCGGAGGGGCTAAACTGACCTCTCCGCCCCCCGTAAACCTCGGTCGGGAGCGTTGGGGCGGGCCGGGTCCGGACGGGACCGGGCCCGGCCAGCAAAGCCCCAACAAGTGAGGCATGGCCGGACGGGGGGGCCCACGTCCGGCCACAGAAGATGGCGAATAGGTCGGGGGGAACCCCACCGACCCAGGAAGGGGGCGGGAGCAATCACCCCGCCCTGCGGCCGAGGGCGTCCTGGAAGTTATGCGCAAGCAGTTCCCGGGACGCCCTCACTATGGCCGCTTGGGGCCCGGCAGAGGTTTTAGTGGGTAGGCCCCCTCCGGCAGTTAGTTCCGGAGGGGGAGAGTCCCACACTACCCCAGAAAAAGTCCCGATTTCCCGGGGGTGTGCGTAATGCATTTCCTCTGCCTCAAAAAAAAAAATGTCTACAGTTGATCCATCGATTTTAAGACTCTCTAACGACACGCAGTGTTCAGCGTTATAATTTTA